GCTGGAACTGGTGACTAAGAAGATTCTTGAGAGAACATTTACTGAAACGTGAGTATATAGTAGCAAGCGTACAAGCACATTTCCTTTATTGATCATCATTTGTTCCAGTAACACCAGACCATCCAGACTTTTTAGAAAGAAGGTATTGTGTGTAGATTTTCCAAACAACAGGACTAAGCAGCTTAAACTTCCTGAGAGACCCCCCACACTGCTGGCTTATTGTGTCGCATACCATTGAAACGTTACATGAGAAAAACATGAACTAAGAGCTGTCTCTCTTCGCTTCCTCCGCTTTTATGTTCACAATAAGTCCTTTCTACACATACAGAAAGTATTAAAGGGATAAACACTCTGACAGGCTTGGAACATTAAAGATATTCCATCTTTGTCAACTCTTGTATCATGTATGTCATTTAACAGCAGGGACCCATTTACAATCATGTCATAGGACCACAACTAAATATAAATAAAACAGAATACTGGGATACCAAGAAGGTTCATACATGAAGTATATGAATTATAGTGTCTCAGTTGAGTTATTGCTCAAAGCACGGTCAGGCATGCGCGACATCAAGAAGACGGTGACTGGATCACATACTGAACATAAAAGCTATATTTGACTTGATTAAAAAACAAATATATGTTTTTCAGTTACCCTCTAGCTCCACAAATAGAAATGTACACATCAAGCTGTTATAGGAGAGCATGTGTATGGCTGAGGTAAATGAGAAGTATGGGCCCTCTGGTTCCCCCTCCAATCTTCCTTCTTGGAAAGGGTAAACGCAAGTCTCTCACAAACACGGGTTAGCTCTCTTGAGGACGGTTCCTGTTCAGAGCAGCTCTAGGTGTGAACTCTAGTTTCTCTTTCAGGCTAACCACCTGAGTGCTGTCCAAACCCTCTTGTTCCTGCAGCTTCCTCTCCTCTCTCTGCTCCAGGATGCTCTTTTGCTCCAGAGGTTTAGGGGTCCCCCTGATAAACCACTCCAGGTGGTAGCCCACTGCTCCCACTACGAAGGCCACGGGGAAGGTGATATAAGGGGCATAGGTCCTTGCCGCCGCCCAGTATAGAGGCCACATGACTGCACTCCGTGATGGCTCCCGAGTGCTCCAAAGAGAGAAGAAATAATTGAGTTGTAAGTGTGTTTTAACATTAACGGTGGATTACAGTAAGAGGTAAGATCTATTTGAACATTCAACAGCATTTATGTAATGCAAACTTGTGACTGAATTCAATACAAGACTGTTACACACATGAAAGTAGGTAGATTGTATGTTCCATCAGGTTTCAAACCATACGAGAGAGAAACTTCTGTGAAATTGTTTTCGTTCACATTTTAAATGATCAAAACTGGTAAGGTAATTATATTATTTGCTTTGAAGCATGGGATGGCTCAAATGCACTGTGTTTATAGATACATGTGTAGTTATGCCACATTCAGGACTTCAGGCAGACACCAGACCATCTGTCCTTGTGCCTTTTCTTAGCTCCAACCAACAACAAATAGCTTACAAAACTATTTGGTGGAATCAATGAGAAGGCAGAGCGAAAAAAAATAAAAATAAAGTTTATCTCCGAAAAGGGTTACGACATTTTTGAAGGAGGGTAATGTATAGGTACACATTTCAAAAGGTAAACATGATCGTTGCATTTGTTACCATGTTGTTTCTTGCCGAAATGAAAAGCATTTATTTTCGATTCAGAAAATGGGTGTCGTTACGTCGGACGGCGTATGGTTTATTTTATAAATAAGAAACAACATTAAATTGGTGACATTTAATATGGAGTTTGGCATTCCGTCGCTGAACCAAGCCAAAGAATGGCAAGGAAAAGGGCTCGAATGAACTTAAAACAGCATGTGAAAATATGAAATGTGTCATACTTATTTCGTCAGGACTTTTGATAAATTAATAATGAATTATGCTACCAAAGTTTACGTTACGGCGTAAGAGTCATTACACAGTACAGACCGGCTACCCTGAATTAACAGTAAGGTTTCAATACGAGCAGTGACACTGTTATGATGAAAGTGCAGCCTCTAGGATTATGAGAAACAAGTCACTGTGGTGTGTCTCTGTAATATTTCGATGATAACATTGTTTTCTTTCATAAGTCTTCACTCACCTCTAACGTTAGCACGTTGGTGCTGCAGTGGAAATACGTCACGTCCGTCCGTGTGTTGCTTCCTGGTTCATCTGGATTGGCTGGTCGCTTTGAACCATTGACTGTATAACCAAGAAGGCTTTGTGTTTTAGCACCATCCAGTGGTATATTTAGTACATTACTTTAAGATAAAATGCCAAAATATGCATTTATTTCAGGATACACAAAGCAAACCAACAATGTCTAAAACGACTTATGCTGCTGGTTGGTACCAATCCATTGCAACAATAAATATAGAACAGTATTCAAGATCCTTATCATGTGGATCCACTGAAGCAGAAAATGAAACCAGATATCAGACTTCATTCAATCGGGTCCCATTTATAGAATTTCTAAAGTGATTCCCAATAAGTCAATTTAATATATCTTGTGTTTATATGGATGCTGGGAAAAGGTGCACATTCCCATTGCTCATCTGTTCGACATTTGTATGAGGCTCAACTTGACTTGTGTCTTTCTGCGAACACAGGATTTCTATATGGGGACTTTCATTTCCTGTCCTGTCTGATCCTTTAAGAAGCGGGGGACTGCACTCCCCCTCTATAATATGTGTGTAGGTAATTTGCAATGCATTGTAATGTGACTCAGGTCCAAAGAAGGGAATGTTCACAATCATTAACTTCACTAACAATATGTATGTTTTGATTATGCCTCTTGAGGGGGTACATATTGTATGTTTAGTTTAGTTTGTCAAGGTACAATTGAGAGAGCTACTATTTAGCTCCTGATTAAAGAAGATTGATGCCACCTGGGTTAAATTGGCCCTAATTTCAGCGATACTCCCTGATTGGTCACAGACAGCAGGTGACAGGGTATTAAATGTTTTGGAGGACAGCAAACGGGTTGGTCTGTGTTGTTCAATCTCTGGGGAAATGGAGGGTGCACACGTGTTTTGTTAACTACAGATGACCCTGAGTGGTATACCTTTTGAAATGGATAATGTTCCCCATTCTTGAGGCTTTTCGAAATATGTTTTAATCTTAAAATCGACGCCTTCATGCTTCCCACTCATACTACCAACCACCCCATCACTACCATCATCTTTGCCTTACAATCAAACAACCTCAGAAGAATGTGCTTTGTGACTTTACCTTTCAAAGAGAGCTGTGCACCAACATTACATACACATGTTTGTCTTTTTCTAGGAGACAAACAAATACCATCTCATTCTGTGTTCAAACCAAACATCAATGGCAGTCCTCCTCAAGCAATACTCATGAAAGGCTGATACATCTGTCATCAGTGTTGTGTGACACGGTGACAAGGCATGAACTTGGGCGACAAACCTTAAGATAGCATAGATAGCTTCATTCAAAAGTGCAGTTTGGTAAAGGCAGAGTCACTTTCAGAGGCTTATGTCATAGTTATGGAAGTTTTGCTTTTTGTTTACTTTATCTGCGTATGAGGGATGCAGAGAAATTGAGTACATTTCAACAACCAAGCGGAAAACCATAAATTGCAGCATTGACTATAGAAGGAAGAAAATATGCTACTGTGGTTTCTGGGAAGTGAATCGGTAAATGTTCTTTGCAAGGCTCTGTATGATTGATGACACTGATATTTCAGCTCCGGGGTCCAAAAGTTTTTCACAAAACTATACCATGCAGGGCTGATCTATAGCGATTTCAAGTCTGTCGTGGAGCGATGGCCAGTTCTGACTCATTGGTCATTTGTGCAGAGGCAGATAGTTAAAAAAAATTGAGCTAAATCCAAATGTTTGAGTCACCTGAGGTTGTTTGAGTTCAAATGACTTGTGAAATTATTGTGATTAACTGCATTCTGTGTGGGTGATTATTCTTCATGCTTCAAAATGATTATTTTAAGCAGTTCCTCCCTCTATGCTGTCCATCTTGTAGTTGCCAGGACTGGCATGCGATCATTCCTGTCAGATAAAGTGAAATGTGCTCACCCCCCTGCGGGAAAACAAGACTAGTAGTGCCAGTTCTGCTTCACCAACAACCTTAGCACTGCCAGGATTATTTCATCAGCTCCTGCTTATTAGTAAATGAGATTTAGAGCTGCACTAGCCAAGAGTTTAATAACAAATACAACTATCTAATTAATCCCAATCACAATGTGTGGCTGAGAGTCTAGCGTAGCATCCTCACTAACTGAAGCCACACAGACATGCTCTATCTGCCCAAGTTAATCACAGTTGTCAGGCATGGTCAGTGGTGGGAAATGTCCTCATTACACAGGAAATGACAAAAAGGTTAAATCACATGAACCAAAGAGAAAAGGCTGCTGCTACACTCTCCATGGGCTAAAAAAGAGGAGAGGGAAGTGAGATATTGCCAAAAAAGATGCACAAGAGAATCTGATGGATCGGCTCTGAATTTGGAAAGAGACGAGGGGAAGCAGGAGGGGCTCTTGACACAGACTGTGATCAAGCAGAGTAACAGATGGTGAGGGAAAGAAGGCCAGATGTGGAAGAGGAACACAGACAGTCCTTTGCTTTGCCAAACTGTCCAACAAGGGAAACATTAGTAACTAATTTGGGAGATTTCAGGTCAAAGGTCATGAGTAAGGATTGGATTTCTACTAGCCATGAAGGCTTTTAGAGACAATACAGTCCACTTCATTAAAAACTGCACTTTTGCTGAGATAAAATATAAATTCTTAAGTGATATCCCTCAGTTCAAGGAATCAGTTACTGTTCTCTTCCATTTTGGACCAGAAAAATAAATCTTTTGCCAAGCTCATAAAAATGTGCTGAATTTGTCTTGGTGACAGTCTAAAGTGGTATTGGTATTACTGCTGCATTTACACAATACTTACCCGTACAGTTAAAACACTACATACATAAATGGTTATCAAGCAAGAATACGAACACTCAAAATGTGATATCAAATCATTTATTTGTTTTTGGCATTAAGAACCATTTTGGCCATGACTGATTTCAGAAAACAAACCTCAGTGGAGTGCATTATGTTCTAAGAACTGGATCCGTAAACACAGAAGATCCATTTCATTGAGGGGAAATTGGCAAACTTAATAGGAAACACTTTTGTCAGGTCACTTATCTCTAGACATTTTGTTAATCGATGGTCAACACTGGCTTGCTTGAGGGGAATGTAGCAAAAGTAATAGTACATAATTATTTTATTAAACACGTAGTTATAGAGCTTTGACACTCAACTTAAAGTGAGAGTGGAATAATACTGACATAATAAACTTTGGCCTTATTTGCTTAATTACATGCATAACAATAAAAAGCAATGCTCAGTGAAATGAGCTAATCATTGCATTGGAATACCCTGCTGAATATTGCTGATGTACATATATTTAAAAGGCTATTGTTTAAATAGAACAGGAACATGTTAATTTGCGAGGGAATACATTTGCAACTCAGCGTAATTATTGTTAACAGTTGATTGTAGGCACTCTACTGTAGGAGCAGAGAAATTATACGAGTTTTCACTTAATATCTACCTTCTCTATTCAAGTTTTTAGAATGAAACATGTGTAAACAGGTACTCTCTTGAATGTCAGTTTAACTATTCAATCAAAAAAGAAACCTATACGTACAAAGTAAAAACATCCAGTAAGGGCACCTTAATAAATGCGAGGTTTCAAGGCTTTTTATACATACAGCCACAAGCCATGGAAGAATGCATTCTACCTGATGTACTGTGTATTAAACAGCAGGTGTTGGCACTTATGGTAGAGCATTAAAAACTGAGAAAATAGGACCTGAACATGGAATGATGCAATGAATCCACAGTGCATCACATGAGCCTGGTGATGGCTCCAGAGATGAAGTCCTCATAGTTAAGGCGGATGTGGCCGGTCATGCCCGTGTCCTTCTCCCTGAAGGCCTGCGTCATGCTCTGCAGCTGGGTGCACACCTGGATGAAGCGGTCCAGCTGGATGCCGGGTCTTCCACCTTGCACGGTGAAGCGCCGCACCAACGTCTCCGAGAACTGGGGGCTGAGGTTGTAGCCCATCTGAGCGAGCGCTGGGGACAGGAGAGGGACAGAGGAAAGAGAAAACAAGTGGATTTTAGTCATTTCAACATTGATGGAATAATTGTAGAAGACAGCTGTCTCCAATAGAGTGGTGCAGGAACGAGTCCTAAAACCCGGAGTCCACTTCCGGTTCCCTCGTCTCAGAGTCAATGGGTTTTTTGAACATGTTTTTGGAAAATAGCTGGAAATAAGGTCTGTGGTTGACACACATTTAAGAGACGGCTCACGTTTTGTTCTACGACATTTAATACATCAGCAGTGACCCCGCTGGTGATTTCTGAAGAGTTTACGTGTCTGAAAAACGATGGTTGTTAACAAGTGGCTGAATAGGACTACAGAAGTTAGTTGTCGAGGACGTTGTACGTCATTACACCGGAAACGTAAACACTCGCTCTCAGTTTGTTTGCCCCTGTTCTGCTTGAAAGCAAGTACCTGCCTCCTGCAAACTGTTAAAACAAACGCTTCAACTTGTACAATTTTGAAGCTGTATTTTTGAATATGAATCTTAAGTTGGCGTGACGTTGAAGCAGCGACCCTGCTGTAGTTCGTTTATAGTAGTGGTTCTCAAATGGGGGTACGCGGACCCCTAGGGGTACGTTGGAGTACTGCAGGGGGTACGTGAGATTTATTTCATGTTAATGGTAAAAAAAAACATAAGTAATGCATTTAAACAAACTACTAATAGTAGATTAACTACTTTATTCAAAGGTTTACAGCAGAGGTGCCCAGTACGTCGACCGCGGGGGCAATGCTGGTAGATCGCGAGTCATTCATAAAAAAAGAATCCTGTTCCGTTAAAATAGACAAAACAGGTTTTGATCCCTCCTCCCTTGGCCTCCCTACCACTTAATTCAGGAGTTTACTTGATTGACAGAAAAAGCGACCTATCGCTTTCCAGTCTGTTAACCCAGAATGCAAAGCGATACAAAATCAGTCAAGTGCCGGGAAAACTCAAATTAAGTTAAAGAGACAAACAAGAGACAAACAACAAAATGAGTGCAGGACCGAGCAAGAAGCTAAAGACATACCACTTCCACACAGAATGGGAGGAAGAATATTTGTTTGTGATGTCACATTCAAAGGTTATTTGCCTTATTTGTAAAGCAAGCGTCGCTCTGCCAAAGAAAGGTAACGTGGAGAGGCATTATCGGAGTGTTCACAAGGCATAGCAGCGACTTCCCTCCGAGTAGCGAGTTGAGAAAGGTCATGTATTATTGCTACACAAATATTATCTCGCAATCTTAGTGTCGCCAACTCGTTTCTAACATGCAAAAAGACAAACAAATGTCGGTGTATTTTCGATCTTTCCAATCGAGACGAGATCTCTCTCCCGTCTGTGCGCGAGGGGGCGGGGCAGTTTACACACACGCGGCTGCTACAAGCAGCAACACACGGAGGAGATGGCGGAGAGAAGCGCTCCAAGGTGTGGTTAAATGTTACCCGTCTTGAGGTGGACAATGCTCCTTGCCAAGAGAGTTCAGCATGTGAGGGCGGTAACACGAGCAATGTGTCAAACATTTAGCAAAAGTGCACCACATCCAGACGGAGGAATGCACCGGGTTCGACTGTCTTTCTAGCAGCTCTGCAGCCCCATCCACGAGTAACGTTTCCACGTCAGGTGTTATGTATGCTAGCAGCAACACACGCAGTTAACTCAATGATTCAAACATGGGTTAATGATTATAGGAAACTGAGTTACTCTTTATTTTGTTAAAGTTTCAGCTATTCTGTTCACAGTTCTGTCATCAGATTATTTAATACGATTTGTTAAAACATTGTTGTTTCTTTTGATGTGAAATATTATTTATTTAATTTAAATAAAAAGCAATGTTAGTTTTGTTCACAATTTGTTAATTTAATAATATATGTATTTTTGAATCAAGTATTCATCTTTATTGTCTTCATTGTTAGTTTCCACATGCCTAAAACAACCTCAAGCTAAATCTAAAAGTTGATGGCTAAACAAGAGGGTTTGAGAAATTGTGCAAGCCATACAGTAATAGTCTGAATAGTCAATTAGTCGTTAAATTAATCGATAGATTAATCGATTATCAAATTAGTCGTTTGTTGCAGCCCTATTATCCCATGTATAAATAAAACGTGTTATTCAGCAACCCTTGCAATTTGGGATTTTATTTTTGGTTGGTAGACCTCGGTGAGCTGGTCATTTCAAAAGTAGCTCACCAGCCCAAAAAGTGTGGGCACCCCTGGTTTACAGTAACTCTGGATAATAACATGGGAAAATAAACGGGGTGCTCTCTTTTCCTCTCCCTCTCCTGACAGCCCGTCAGTCTCGTGCAGCTCGCTGAACCTGTAATAAGTGACCCGACAGGAAAGAACACACATATTTCTTATAACTAGTTTAGCTAGTTCCAGAGTAGATGAAATAGCTAAGTGTATTAGGTCACTTTGAAAAAAAGGTTAATGATATTCGCTCTTCTTTTTCGGATTCACCTTTACTCACCGCTGGGTCACCAGACCTTCCTTCCACCAACACACTAACCTCCTTTTCCCCTCTCTCTCCAAGTGAGGTTCTTACCCTCATTACCTCTGCCCGCCCTACCACCTGTCCTCTGGACCCTATCCCTTCAAACCTCCTTCAGACTATCGCTCCTGATATTCTACCATTTCTCACCCATTTCCTCAACACTTCTCTAACTTCTGGTCACTTTCCAAACAGTCTCAAGGAGGCAAGAGTAAACCCTCTCCTAAAGAAACCCACTCTCAACCCGTCTGATGTTATAAACTACAGGCCTGTCTCTCTCCTCCCGTTCCTGTCTAAATCACTTGAACGCGCTGTCTTTAAACAACTCTCCTGTTATCTCAATCAGAACAACCTTCTGGATCCGCACCAGTCTGGTTTCAAGGCAGGTCACTCCACAGAAACTGCTCTCATTGCTGTCACGGAGGAACTGCACACTGCCAAAACTGCATCCCTCTCCTCTGTCATCATCCTGTTGGACCTGTCTGCTGCATTCGACACGGTGAATCATCAGATCCTCCTTCGCACTCTCCAAAAACTTGGAGTTTCAGGCTCTGCACTTTCCCTCCTCACCTCATACCTGAAAGACCGTACCTACAGGGTGACTTGGAGAGGGTCTGAGTCCGACCCTTGTCAATTAACTACGGGGGTCCCTCAGGGCTCTGTTCTTGGTCCCCTCCTCTTCTCCCTGTACACAAACTCGCTCGGATCAGTCATTAGCCCGCATGGTTTTTCTTACCACTGCTACGCTGACGACACCCAATTAATTCTGTCCTTTCCCCGCTCAGAGACCCAGGTCGTCGCACGCATCTCTGCTTGTCTAGCTGACATCTCTCAGTGGATGTCTGCTCACCACCTCAAGCTCAACCTTGACAAGACTGAGCTGCTCTTCCTCCCGGGAAAAGATTGTCCAACTCTTGACCTGACAATCAACATCGGCACCTCAGTTGTTTCCCCGACTCAGACTGCAAGGAATCTGGGTGTGACCCTAGATAACAACCTGTCCTTCACTGCAAACATCGCTGCTACAACCCGTTGCTGCAGATACACGCTTTACAACATCAGGAGGATACGTCCCCAGCTGACTCAGAAAGCGACTCAGGTTCTGGTCCAGGCTCTCGTCATCTCACGCCTAGACTACTGTAACTCCCTCCTGGCTGGTCTACCTGCATGTGCCATCCGACCTCTGCAGCTCATCCAGAATGCAGCGGCTCGTCTGGTCTTCAACCTTCCTAAATTCTCCCACACCACTCCGCTCCTCCGCTCCTCCGCTCCCTTCACTGGCTTCCGGTAACTCCTAGAATCCACTTCAAGACACTGGTACTTGCTTACCATGCTGCGAATGGATCTGGCCCTTCCTACATCCAGGACATGGTTAAACCGTACACCCCAGCGCGTGCACTACGCTCTGCATCAGCCAAACGACTCGTTGCGCCCTCGCTGCGAGGGGGACCCAAGTTCCCATCGGCGAAAACACGTGGGTTTGCTGTCCTGGCTCCAAGATGGTGGAATGAGCTCCCCATTGACATCAGGACGGCAGTTAGCTTGCACATCTTCCGGCGCAAACTGAAAACTCATCTCTTTCGACTCCACTTCGAGCGTTAGAACTATTAACGAAGCACTTTTATACTAATAAAGGGCTGGCTTACCTAAAGCCAGTTGAGTAGCACTTGAAATCTTTGGCTCTATGAAACCTGATGTACTTATATGATTCTGTTTTCTTCAAGGTTGTGTCTTCCTGGTCGAATGTACTTATTGTAAGTCACTTTGGATAAAAGCGTCAGCTAAATGCAATGTAATGTAATGTAATGTAATGTAATGTAATGTAATGTAATGTAATGTCTAACTGTATTTTGGTCCGCTCACCGGTCCGTCACAGCGGCGGAGCTTTGATCCGGAAGAGCTGCGTGTTCTCCGTCAGCAGCAGCTGATCTGATCTCTCTCTCGCGTCCGGTTATACTTCACTCGCGTTTATGTCCAAATCTATCAGATCTAGCTAGTTCTAGCTAATTATAAGACTGCCTGCTTATCAAAGGACACCTAAACAATAAGCGTTGCTTGGCAACGGCTTGTGGCTGCAAAGTATAGCGCAGCATTATGCATATGTTTAATGAGGGGTCAAAATCCCATGCTCATAAAATGCTCATATTTTTTGTTCTCTTCATTCCCCACGCCCCAAAATAAATAAATAAATAAATATACACATTTTAGGAAAAGTAACGAAGTTTGAGCAGTGTGGGTTTTATATTGACAGAGTTACACATAGTTTCAAAACGCAAAGTGTAATTCTGCAGTGGCCTTCCTGTCAGAATGATAAAGGTCCTCAGTGAAGCACAAACCCATGTTTCACTACATTGTAAGTACAACTTATTAAAAAGATCAGTTCAATGCAACTAATGTCGTCTTAGTGTTATTGCATGATATTAAAATTGGTTTGCCATGAATTTAGTGATGGATTGTAAACAATTGAAATGTAGCATTTTAGTGTTTCTCAGTTACAATGTTGTTGTTTTAATAACTCAGACTCTGATGGTGCAGCAGCACTGTACCTCTTTATATAGGCATCTTTTCCCTAACAAATAGTTTTTGCACTGATCAGGGGGTACTTGGCTGAAAAAAAATTCCGAAGGGGGTACATTATTGAAAAAAGTTTGAGAACCACTGGTTTATAGCATAACGTTAGCATTTGGCGATTAGATTTAAGATTCGAACATTATAAAAGTAGGGTAGACATGTGGAGATTATCCGGCAGAACAAAACATTTATCAAACAAGTTTGTTTTCCACAGATCTTATTTTTTACAATATTCCAAAATCCTCTGGAGAAATCCTGTTGCTTTTTTGTCGAGGGAACCCTTGCGCAGCTTACTTCCGGGTCGGCCTACAAAAATACGTCATCACTGCACCACTCTATTATGGTCATTTTTATTTACAAAATGATTCCATATCCAACTTAATTGTAGCATCTTTAACACACAAACGAGGGTACCTTGGTGTAGCTCCGTGCCACTGATAAAGCCTGAGCGGTCTCTGTCAAATTGTTGAAAGAGCCCCCTCCACCGCTGCATGAATTCCCACAGTGCAGAGAAGCCAAAAATGTCCATTCGGCCCGTCCTCGTCTTGTCAAACATGTCTGAAAGGAAACACAAAGCACAGCACGTCGTTATAGTTTACCCCGTTCTTTCAAGGCGAAATGCATTTCCAGAATGTTTCCAGGAAGTCCTCCATCATGGAACTTCTTTTTGAATTTCTTGAAAGTAGCACACAAAGGTAATAGGAAACATTAGTCACTGGCAAACCCAATTGGAATGTCCGGATACCTTTGCAGCTCACAAACAACAAGACAACATGACTCAGTCGTTATTTAAGCTGACTACTGTCTACCGGAATTTCTAGTCTATATAATGTAGAAGTAAACTTTACTGTATGTACCATCAGTTCATATAGGATAACCTGTAATGTGATATGTGAGTTTATGCGCTATCAGTGGGTTTTCTTCTGAGGGTTGCTACAGTATATCATATTGGACTAGGTTAAAGATCACTTACATGAGGATGACATGTAATCAACGAAGGTCTAAATGTCCTCTGCTAAATTGTTTATTTTGGGTGAGAAAAAATATTCAAACACATTTTTATTGTAATATATATCTATTTAAAAAGGGACAATGCACACGTGCTCTGGACTTACTTTAGGCAAGTTTTCTGTATCTTATACTGTTGCACTGACATCAAATGTTTTACTTCAGTGAACAGTGTTTTTTGGTGTGTTATATTCTTATGTCCAGAGCTTCCACTCTACAAACCTTCTTCCTCACCTTTGCTGTAGCCATTTAGCTCTCTTAAAGTATTTAACATAGTTGAACATTGTGTCACTTTGCCTCAAGAAACACTATTAAAGAATTTAACAACAATCAAACAACACACTGTAGGCCATGTTATTTGGCTGTGACTGTGTGACTTACTGATCATCATGAGGCAGGTCTCGTCGTTGAAAGCAGACCAGTTGGAGTTGACGAGTGCCTGCTTCAGCTCCTTCAGATTGATGTAGCCACTGCGGTCCGTGTCCACAGTGTGGAACCACTGGAACGCCTCTTGGCCAACACCGGGAGGGATGTTACCTAGAGAGAGGAACAATCAGAGTAGTTATTGGATGGTGGCTCAGACGAACTGAAGATGCCCATCACAAAAAGAATGTTTTCTTAGCATTCTTTCCAAGCTTGTTTTCCTAGCATACCACTCACTGCTTTCCAACAAGTGGACTAGCTTTATTTATTCTCTTTATTACTTCCCATCTATTTCTTAGAAGTCAATATTTCACTGAAACTCTCAGGCTTCTTAGAAATGAAGCGGCTGCCTCATTCAGATGCAAAACAATTATTTATTTATTGAGAGATGAAGAAACACTCTGCCTGAGAGTCAAAGCTGCGAGCACTCTCTCAAGCAGGAAAATGATCACGAAAAATAATACATCTGTGCTTGACTCAATCTTTAAGCTGTGGTGCTTAGAAAGCACTGATTTAAAAAACTCTCTAAACGTAAAAATAAAATGCCAAATGTAATTCTACAGCTTAGTACAGTATACAATTAGTTGATACAGTGTTGGGTTGTTGTAGGAATGTGTGGATAACAGAAACAAAATGTTACAATTGTGTGAGATCAAGGTTGAATTAATGCTTTACGACAACTATAGAATGTAAAAAAAATCCTGTATCTTATTAATTTAACTAAAATACTGTATAATCTTCCAGTAAATAGAAAAAACAGCAACATAAGGCATCTCAAAAGTTGTGAAACCAGTTTGGATTCTCTTAAAGAATACTTCACCAACCTTAGTTAAATAGTCTCAGTGTTTCATAAGGCGCAGGTTGTGAAGCAAAGGTAGGTGCAGGGTCAAGGGTTGAGAGAAAGTGAATGGAGGGAGAGAAAGGGGTGTTAGAAATAATGGTGTAGGACAAGTGGAGGAGTGGGGGAGGGCTGATTGTCAGAAAAATGAATGGGTAGAGAGGGACAGGTGACAATTTAGGCCAGAACCTGATGGGATCTGTCCCTGTGGGGAGTGATCATTGGCTTTCAGGCTTAGCTGCTACGGGAAACCGTGTACTCACACACACAACACAATCTTTACCCTATCTGTCTCTTACTCTGTTTAGCCTTCACTCAGTATTACCAGAGTCATCACTCCAGCCGTGTAATCCTGCTGAGGGGCACAAACTGAACCCTGTCTCTACATGACGGTCTGGGAACGCAAGTCATTTTCTATCCATCATCCCAGCAGAGAGGGAGGGAAAATGAGAGAGAAGTGATGAAGAAGAGGAAAGAGAGAAGCCACCTCATGTTCAGAATATGCCTGTTTAACTCCCACAGGCAGAAGCCACCTACAGTAATAGCTAAGAGTCACCTGCAGGAGCATGCTGTCCATAATGTCCTCCTTGCGGTTGTCCACCGTAACCCCCATAATGCCCGGCGGGGGCAACCCCTTGTCCCTGTCCATACTGCCCTCCTTGAGCTGGGGCACCATAGCCACCATAAGGAGCTGTTGGTTGACGTGGGGCCCCTCCATGTTGGGACCCTCCATGTGGGGATCCTCCATGTGGGGATCCTCCATGTGGGGACCCTCCATATGGGGCTGAGGGGTGTCCCCCGTAGGGACCGCTGGCCCCCCCGTATGGGGCACTGGGTGGTGGGTGGCTGCCTCCTGGATAGCCCTGCAGGGACAGACAACACAAGTCCACTAAGAGTATGTACAAGGAACAAACTGGCCATTATACTTTTGAGATAAAAAAAAGCAAGACAATAAACTTGTGTACCACACGTTTTTATATATCTAAAACACATTGCTTGTATGCATTTTAAGATGCCTTGTTATTATCACCAAAGGCACCACCAAGGATGAATATAAATTGAATTGTTATTTGTATGAATTCATACTATAATATTATTAATAGTGTTATATATGAAGCCCACTGTTGCTTACAGTATAAATAATCAGACGGTTTAATACAGGCTTTAAGAAGGCTTAATATTAGACCCTGGAAAAGGGGTTTCCCCACTTTTACTTTTTAAATTCAACATTTTTTCTATTATACTTCTGTACTTTTGTGTGCAGGAGTAATCGTTTAGTGAGGCACTTTTACTTCTGCTTGGAAATATATTTTCCATAAGTCAAAACACATGCAAATATCGATACTTTGCTTAGAAAGACTACAATACAATGTACAAAACAGAGATAACCAAGTCTCAGATCAAACGGGAGCACTATAATAGCTAAAACGTATTGTTTAACGCTAACTACAACTCCAGCAATGTTAAATATAAAACCCACAGCTAGCACAAACTACTAAATGTTATTAACAAGTAGCAACAGCTTACATCGTTTACTCCTATCCATACAGTAGCAAACCAATGAATGGCTAACGTTGCGTTAGTTAGTATTAGTTACGTTTCATTAATGGAATACAACAGATAATACAGTTATTCCACAATATTAACATGTTGGTATAATTAACATTGAGTAAAGTATTTAGATACCTGGCCGTAGTGAAAACTCATGTTTGACAGACTTTACTTCCTTCAACAAGGTTAGCAGAGAAGGCGGATGCAGAACTGTCCGGCTAAGGGCGTGGACGTAAAAAATACTCAGGCACGCTATTGGTCAATTTGCACGTCCGTCACAAAACAGCCCGCGTCACCGGCTCCTGATTGGATAATAGAGTGGAAAAGGGATGACGACAGGACAAATAAGTAGCCTCTGAATCACTGTTCCCAGAGCCATCGGCAAAGTTATTCTATTTTTGCTCTCATAAACACTGCCCAATACTTAGTGAGTTAGTCACTCACACTCAGTGTTATTATATAACAGATACTGGGTTTACTGTGTCTACTTGAGTTTGTAACAGTATTTTTGGAATTTATTTCAATCAATGTCTTACTATTCCTATAATTAATCAATGCAAAAGGCACTGTTTTATGGCACAATTTGTAATACTTAGCTGTCATATTATTTCAATGGTTTCTATTTATAAAATATAACAGTATTTAGCTTTACATCCAATCAGAATATACATTTTGATTCCTAGGGTTGCTACAGTAACTAGTATCATTGAGTTTTGACATACCAATAATCAATATAAAATACTCTTTTACTCAAATAACTAAACTAATAAGTGACTTAAACCTCTGCCAAATATCGTTACTTTTACACAAATGTCTCTCTGAGGTACTTTATAATGCACTTCTATCTTGTGTTTTTCCCATATATTTACATCTGAATCAGTTTCATTAGCATATGTTATGCACACACGCACACGCACACACACACACACACACACACACACACACACACACACACACACACACACACACACACACACACACACACACACAATGAATTTCACTCCAGTTTTAAGATGCCCTCACACACAGTTACAGGAAATGGATTATAATTGTAAAATGAGTTTCAAAAAGAACAAAGGACACTGTTAACAGCAGTATAGCTTTATAGTTTCACAACAATAAATACAACACATAAAATATATCAGGCTTTCTGTGTTGTTCAATGTTCGTTTTAATGTTCTTAAGTATAATTGTTTAGTGGAATGAATGTGTATCACACCTTCATTAAGTAATTCTGAATTAAACACAAAATGTCCACATGATTTAAACCGACTCTCGACAAAATAAAGAACATTTTCTTCATATTGTGTTTCTGAAATAAAAAAAACCGTAAGTGACTTGTGCCGATTACTGTTCCACCCCTGAAGTAAGTGCTTTGTTGCTTTATCTTGTTTTATGCAATAGGGGGCAGTGTGGTTTTTTTTCAGGAAAATGTATTGCGGTCTGTAAAATGCCCGAAAAGTAAAAGAATGGGAGATAAATATCCCAAAGTCTCCACATTTTATTATATTTTTAATGTGTTTCTGGTCCTCTTTCAGTTGAGACAGTGTAGATGAAGGAGGTCAAAGGTTTGCACAGAGCGAAATATCTTTGTGTTGCGCCATCAATCAGAAAATACTGCATTAAAAAAGTTATTTCCTGCATTTTTCTACTGATAAAATGTGATATAAATAATGTACAGGCTGTCAGATTGCTGTAGTTCACTAAACAGAGACATTAACGACATGTTTAGTGTTGAAAATGTCAGAAAAAGTGAAAGAATAGGAGATAAATATCCCCAAATCTCAAAATGTTATTATATTTTGTGTGTGTTTGTGGTCCTCTTTCAGTTGAGACACTTTAGGATGCTTCTGGAAAAGACCAAACACTGGAGCCTCATCCCAATACCCCTCCTCGACTCCTCTCTTCCTCTCCTCTGGGACTTGACCCGGAAATTGATCAAGACAAGCCATGTTGAAGGACGTCCCAATAGCTGAAATGCACACGGAGGAGTCGAGGAGGGGTGAGGGAGGAGACGAAAGGGAGGATACATGCGAGCAGACTACGCGGAAGTGTTTTCACTACTCGCGTATAAAAGCCCCGCCCCCATCTTCACAGCTGGTCGATTTCAACAGAGGAAAACCGACAACTGGGTTGCGTTCCAATTCTTTCACACACACATACGGGTTTTGGGCCGAGGGCGACACCGTACTTCCGGTATCCGCCATTTCACACGAGGTGCAACCAGAATATCACAGTCTATTGCCTTAATCAATATAGTCAACTCTAAAATACCACGTATATGCATTGGCATGATAATATTATTGTGACAATGAGGTATTCACCTGGTGTTTCCAGAAGATAGACGGAGATGCTGCCAAAATCGACCGAAGGCCACTTTAGAGAGTCGTTTTTCCATACATCTGCAGGCAGTCTGTAAGGGCAATCGGACAACCCACACAGCTCTAGTTTACACTGGTAACGACCTAGAGCACACCCCTCAAGTCCAGAGATGTAATCCGAAGACATGCAGCGATTTCTTCGGTCGTTAATTCAGAAAAAAAAACCTAGTGCACTCTGCCTGGCTACGTTAGCTAGCTGTTTATATTAGCACCTCCAGGAAAATGGCGTATTTATATATATATATATATATATGGCGCGCGTTGCATTGTGGGTAGCTCGTGACGTCACTGTGTGTGAAAGAATAGTCCATTTAGTTTAGCAACCTTCCTAACGGAGTGAAATGACCCGGAAGTCCCTCAGTGGCAGCCATGATAAGTGCCGTTCCAATTATCTAAATGAAAGGAAAGGAGGTTTCAAACTTCCTTTATAACCATCATTTAGCGTACTGTAGGAACCACTGGACCTCCCTTACCGAAAGGAGAGGAGAAAATGCTGCCCCACAATGCATTGCAGCCGCAGCATTTGCCGTCACTCAACAGTCGGCCGTTCACGGAAACAACCGATTATGACCGAGAAATTATATCATGAAAGTTACGGTGCTTATTACACATTTTAAAACGTATGTGTTAAGTTGCCAAAGTGCTTTTTGCTGAACGTTCATCAGTATTATAATCAGAAAGAGAAATATGAACATTAGTTTTTACTGAAATGATCAAATAAAGTCAACATCTCACAGTCTTTACTGAGCTATGTGGGGTTTGTTAAACTTTTAAAAGATGTTTGAATGGTGATATACACAGTGATAGATGTTAAGGACTAACGTTTATAATAAATACATTTGTATTGATTTTAAGATATTTTCATCGTTCATACAATATATTGGGATCATTTGTATTAATGTGGACCGGAGGGAGAGGGTGACGAGCATAAGTTTCACTTTCCTTTTTTATTTCAATTCCAACTTTGGACATGAAGAATATGTTTCTCTGTTGTCCACGTTCATAAAGCAAAGCAACAGCATCAGAGCACGGTGCAGAGTCTCTAGATGAGTTTACAGTAGTCCCTCGTTCTTATTAAACATCCATGTTGTAGTCCGCTATAGAAAACTGTAGTTTCCATAGTTTCCCCACAGCAGCAGACGCACGTTCAGGACGTCCGCTGGCGCATCATAAACACGTCGGATAGTGAAAGTGCATTCGGATTCTCTAAAGTACCGCAGTCTCTTCTCCTAAGTCCTTTTGAATTCTCCTATCCACTATCCCTTAACCCCGTGACGTTTCACTCAGAGGTCAAGGAATAAGATATAGGGTTAGAATTTAGGAGCTGATTTTCGGATTATCGGAACGCAACCCTGGAAGATGAGTGGAAAAGCGTCACAAGTGCTATAAGTGCTCACAGCTCCGTGGGAATTATTATGTGCAATTCATTTCTAAAAGGCTTTCACATTACTATAATTATATATTTATTTAATGTAGGCTACATTTTACAACAAAACGGAACACAAAAGCAGGACCAACCATCATACATTGAATTCCTTGACTAACAAGAGAAAGATTCATTCATTTAAATAAATATTTAACAACAAATGGGCCGGTTCTAAAGGGTTATTCAGTTAAGCCCGATGAGAGGGGATACAGCTGTGCACATGCCATCATTAACAGACGTCGTTTAAGAGTGACGTTTGAGTGATCGAGGCCATCCCAATTAAGACCTGAGGACTCCTCTGTCCTCGCGTCACCTCCTCGTGTCTCTCGCTCGCATCTTACGGAGGCGGAGCTAAGACGCAAGGAAGGGAAGCGAGTGAGTGAAAGGAGGAGTCGAGGAGGGGTATTGGGATGAGGCTTGGATGTCTTTCAGTCGCCAACATGTGTTTTCGAGACACTGATATTAACAGGGTAATCCTGCAGGACTCAAATGCCTCGTCGGGGGTAACGCTGCCTTTCCCGCAGCGTTACCCCCGGTCTGCACGTTGTTTCTCTTTCAGAAACACAGAGGCCTGTTTGTATGATGCGATCACAGACACGCTGCAAACGGTGTCCGCCAAAAGTCGAGTCCAGTGTCTATGGAGTGTCATTTGTATTTGCTATAGTTTGGGAAGATTGAAAATCGGTAGGGAAAGCCAGCTAAATCGGTAGGCGGTAGAAACATGTCAAAAGTGGTAGACTACCGCCCAAATCGGTAGGGTTGGCAGGTATGAAAGCACCTTACATTTTCTTAGACGTCTCTTCTTCAGACTTCATGTTAGTGAGGTTTTGGACGGAGGCTGTAGGATCCACTCTGATTGAACTCTTGGACATAAACTCTGACCTGGGCTTTGCCAGTGGCGTCAATTCGTGATTCTCTACGAACATCCTCTTGTTTGCCATGTGTTTTTTCTTAATGAGTTTTTGGACGCGTTTGCAGATGAGGTAAACCATCTCACAGATGCACATCAGGATGCACAAAGCAGAGGAGACAACCATGAAGATTGTGAAAATCTTCTTCTCAGTGGGACGGGATGTGTAGCAGTCCACCGTGTTGGGGCACGGCTCCAGGGAGCACTTGGACAGGCGGGGCATGTCGTAGCCTTCGTAGACGTAGTACAGGATGTAGAGGAAGCCAGTGTCAAAGCCTGCCTTGAAAATCAGACTGACCTATGATAACATAAATTAAGGTTAAATTAGTACACAGACATTTAAGTCAAATGAGGCAACAATCTATATTCCTGTCCATCCATCCAATGAGAATATCCAGGGGATGTCTTAGTCACTACTGGTCTACAGATGATTATAACTTGTGAAAAACAATGCATGACCTATAAAGATGAACATTTACAAATGTTCAGATCAAAACTCTAGCAGTAATGCTATTTTATTTCAATTTCAGAAATATGTTGGACTGTTTATTTCTAGTGTCTTAATTTCTCTTACTGTATGTACATTGCCTTGTTTTTTATGATGCTGCAACACAAACATTTCCCAAATTGGGATCAATAAAGTACATCTATCTATTTAGTGTGGAAGAATGGGGAAACTTGTTTCTGACGTTGGGCTGCAGAAGAAGCTGTCAAAACTGTTTTTCTGTTGATCAGGAGAAAACAAATGATGTATAATTACACCAATTTCTGGCGTAAATAGAAGCTTATCTATGACGATTAACAACGACTAATTTCAGTTTAGTTAAGGCCTGAATTCATCTGTGGCTGTTTTTTGTTGTTGTTGTGGCATGTGAAGAAAAACACATTCATGTCCTCAGGTCTTACCACGTACGTCCACCACAGTCCCCCACGTTTCTTCCCAGGGTTGGCGTACAGATGCATGCCTTTGTGCGAGTGGGTGTACTGCACGTCCTTCTTCTCGCGATACTTGACGTGCCCAACAACCATCAGGGACGGGCATGTGACGAAGATGAGCTGCAGGGCCCACAGGCGGATGTGGGAGATGGGGAAGAAGTGGTCGTAGCACACGTTGGTGCAGCCCGGTTGGGCCGTGTTGCAGACAAAGTCCTTGTTCTCGTCACCCCACACTCGCTGAGCCGCCACCACGTACACCATCACCCTGAAGACAAAGACCACGGAGAGCCAGACACGGCCGAACACGGTGGAGTATTTGTTGACCCCGCTGATGAGGGCCTCCAACGCAGACCAGTTCATAACTGCTGCCTTCGAGGTGGAGCAGGGGATGGAGGAAGCTGAGGGAGATGAAGAAGCTCCTCAGAAGAGCAGGTAGGATGAACTTCTTGATGGTCTAAATAGAAGAAAGTCAAAGTAGATTAAAAAAGGATATTAGTTCAAGCACTTGGAGATGAAAACTCTTTACATTTTGTAGATTATTCACACTGCACATTTTTCTTTTCATTTATTTTCATTCTGTAAAGCAAATATGAAAGCATTTTTTTTAATGGACGCTCAAGTAAATTCATATTACACTTCCTACAGATGGAGGACTTTAGACAGATTTTTTTTAATAAACGGTGAGACTTGATCTAGTAGCTGAGATCTCTTCACATCCCTAACATTGGGTGAAAAAACCAGAGCCACTATCCATAATTCAACACGGTAGTTCCTTTTGTTATATTTTCCCTGCCTGGAAACGCACCCAGCTTTTAAAGTCCACTCAGTTTCTGTTATAAATATGTAGGTGTTGTCTCCTCCAGAGCAAAGGAGATATCATAAAACTGATTTTAAAGTGTAACCCTCCTATTGTCTTCGTTTTCCCCCCTTACTTTGGTGTTCACGCTCAAATTTGACCGGTCCTGTTTTACCTGCTATTACATTAACACAAAAAACATTAATCATCACCAAATTTCATTTAACACCCTTTCAAACTGTACATATTGTATCAGACTACTGGTATACATGAAATACCGCAATAAATATACAAAGAATAGACACTGAACATGTATTGCGTGTGCCAGGTGTGATCCATGTGGGGGGATGGGCACATAAGAGCGGGAAATGTGTCAAATTGTTCTGTGTGTGTGTTTGTGTGTGCCAGGTGTGATTCACATGGGGGGATTGGGCACATAAGGGGGGGGGGACATCTAGAGTATGTGTGTGTGTGTGTGTGTATATTTGTGTATTTGTGTGTGTGTTTTATCTGATCCGGATGGTTACTAATTCCTTTTCTTTATGGCGGAACACCATGGGTGTTACAAAGTTGACTAAATCATCCAAAATTCAATGAAAGTGGTGGTCAGCAATTTTATATGTTCAAATATCTACTGTGTAGGATATCATAAAGCCTTAATGCAAGGCAAGGCAAGGCAAGGCAAGGCAAGGCAAGGCAAGGCAAGGCAAGGCAAGGCAAGGCAAGGCAAGGCAAGGCAAGGCAAGGCAAGGCAAGGCAAGGCAAGGCAAGGCAAGGCAAGGCAAGGCAAGGCAAGGCAAGGCAAGGCAAGGCAAGGCAAGGCAAGGCAAGGCAAGGCAAGGCAAGGCAAGGCAAGTTTATTTATATAGCACTTTTCAACACAAGGCAATTCAAAGTGCTTTACAAAAAATGAAAGACATTAAGAAAATGGCATTTAAAATCAGTCATTAAAAAGAAAAGCTAATAAAATAAACATTGAAAGAAAAAAATACATGGATAAAAGTTACAGTACAGTCTAAGATATGAATAGTTCAATTAAAAGCAGCGACAAAAAGAAAAGTCTTCAGCCTGGATTTAAAAGTAGTAAGAGTTGCAGCGGACCTGCAGGTTTCTGGGAGTTTGTTCCAGATATTTGGAGCATAATAACTGAACGCTGCTTTACCATGTTTAGTTCTGACTCTGGGGACAGAAAGCAGACCAGTCCCTGAAGACCTGAGAGATCTGGATGGTTCATAATTTAGCAGGAGGTCAGAAATGTATTTTGGGCCTAAACCATTCAGTGCTTTATAAACCAGCAGCAGTATTTTGAAATCTATTCTTTGACACAGAGGAAGCCAGTGTAAAGACTTCAGAACAGGAGTGATGTGATCCACTTTCTTAGTGTTAGTGAGGACTCGAGCAGCAGCGTTCTGAATCAGCTGCAGCTTCCTAATAGATATTTTAGTGAGACCTGTGAAGACACCATTGCAGTAGTCGAGTCTACTGAAGATAAAAGCGACAAGTTTTTCCAAATCCTGCTGTGACATTAGTCTTTTAATCCTAGATATATTCTTTAGGTGATAGTAGGCTGATTTAGTAACTGTTTTAATGTGACTGTTGAAACTCAGGTCAGAGTCCATGACTACACCTAGATTTCTGGCTTTATCTGTTGTTTTAAATATTGCAGACTGAAGCTCAGCGCTAACTTTTATACGTTCTGCCTTGGCTCCAAAAACCATTACCTCAGTTTTATCTTTGTTTAATTGGAGAAAGTTCTGACACATCCAGTCATTGATGTGTTCAATGCACTTACTCAGTGTTTGAATTGGAACATAGTCTCCTGGTGAAATTGTTACGTAAATGTGTGTGTCATCTGCATAGCTATGGTAACTTATTTTGTTGTTCTTCATTATCTGAGCCAGTGGTAGCATGTAGACGTTAAAGAGAAGAGGCCCCAAGATGGAGCCTTGAGGTACCCCACATGTCATATTTGTCAACTCAGATGTGTATTTACCTATAGAAACAAAGTTGTTTCTGTCCTTTAAGTAGGATTCAAACCAATTTAGAACAATCGAATGTAAAACAAAAAAGTTATGATTGATGAAAGTAGTAAATTGGTCAGATTTGACCCGAAGACAACAGGAGGGCTTTAAGTTGTACTGTACATGCATGGGAACTGAACTTGATGTGTAATATTTGTGGAAGGCCCATTTAATGATTTGCACATTTTCAGTGGCTTTATTGATAATGTATTTACGCATAGGATTTGCAAAACCAATTGTGGTTGATTTCACATTTGATAAAAAGACACCACTTAACAATTTAGATTTTCTGATCATATAATTCGATACAATTTCCATTTTCAGGTCAATTTAACTTTATTTTGAATTACCCCTGCCAAGGAAGTCATGATTGAGGTTTGAAATAATTGTCTTTGTTGTCTGAAGGATTACTACTGGAGGCAACAAAACCACCTGCCATGATTTTCACATACATTTTCTAAGTCACAGCAGATCCGTATTTACAAAGAGCAACCACTTAATTACTGACTCATTATACATCAATGAATGATTCGGAGCCTCCCTTTCCTGAAAAGACAAACCAATACTCCCAGCTCCATTAGACAGATATTTGCTCAGTGTGTCTGATCAGATGGCCGCGGCCATCTCTCTAATCCCAAATTCATTTTGCAACCTTGATTCTTCAAAGGCCTGTAAAGGGATAGCATTTCATTTGTGAATGTTAAGCACGCCTTAATCGTACCACAGGACCCGTACTCTGAGAAAGAGAGGGACATTTATTCAAAATATCACTATGTGGATTTAATGGTCTGATCGTGTGTAGACTTTAAACATGCCACTGTTATGGAAACCTGCATAGTTGTTTCTTTGTGTGTGGGCGTGCTGTCAGAGTTGTTTGGCTGCATGTGTGTTCTCTTCCTCTGGGGTTCGGTTTTGTGCAAATGAAGAAGAGTTTGCATGTGTGGCATACAGAGCCATTAGTGGGTTGATATACCTACATTATTAGTAATTACATGGTTAACATGATTTGCATTTAATACAGCTCATGTTCAGAGTGTGGTGAGAATTGTCTGTGTCCATCCATCCATCCATCTTCTCCCGCTTATCCGTGGTCGGGTCGCGGGGGTAGCAGTTCCAGCAGAGAGCCCCAAACTTTCTTTTCCCTGGCGACATCAACCAGCTCTGACTGGGGGATCCCAAGGCGCTCCCAGGCCAGCGAAGAGATATAATCCCTCCACCTGGTCCTAGGTCTACCCCTTGGTCTCTTCCCAGCTGGACGTGCCTGGAACACCTCCCTAGGGAGGCGCCCAGGTGGCATCCTAACTAGGTGCCCGAACCACCTCAACTGGCTCCTTTCGACGCGAAGGAGGAGCGGCTCAACTCCGAGTCCCCCCCCTGATGACCCGAACTTCTCACCTTATCCCTAAGGGAGACACCAGCCACCCTGCGGAGAAAACCCATCTCGGCCGCTTGTATCCGCGATCTCGTTCTTTCGGTCATGACCCATCCTTCATGACCATAGGTGAGGGTAGGAACGAAAATGGCCCGGAAGACCGAGAGCTTTGCCTTCTGGCTCAGCTCCCTTTTCGTCACAACGGTGCGGTAAAGCGACTGCAGTACCGCTCCCGCTGCTCCGATTCTCCGGCCCATCTCACGCTCCATTGTTCCCTCACTCGAGAACAAGACCCCGAGATACTTGAACTCCTTCACTTGGGGTAAGGACTCATTCCCTACCTGGAGTGGACAGTCCATCGGTTTCCTGCTGAGAACCATGGCCTCAGATTTGGAGGTGCTGATCCTCATCCCAGCCGCTTCACACTCGGTTGCGAACCGATCCAGTGAGTGCTGAAGGTCGCAGACCGATGAAGCAATTAGAACCACATCATCTGCAAAAAGCAGTGGTGCAATCCTTAGTCCACCGAACTGCAGACCCCCTCCCCCATGACTACGCCTCGAAATCCGATCCATGTATATTACAAACAGGATTGGTGAATTGTCTGTGTGTTTTCTGATAAGGAATGGTTGGTTTATTGTTGGAAAAATGTAGTGTTATCTAGTAGTATGTAGTGTCTAACTCCGACCAGCAGAGGGTGCGTTCGCTACACGGTGTTGGGGACAAAGAGAAGTCTCGCGTGAATACGTTCAGAGAACGTAAACATACACTTGAGTGAAGTCACGGTGAGTGTGTGTGTGGCGAACTGTGATAATAATATATATATTTTGGCTCTTTGCAGGTAAGAACGGACAGTTGGAATTGTGTAATTGATGAGTGAATATGTTATGTGTGAGTTTATGATCCCGGTTGGACTTTATGTAGTAGTGTTTATGAACGTTACTTGTTCAGCAAACGTAACGTACTGAAAATGGCTAGCCAGTAGTTAGCACTGGTGGCCTTGTTAGCTTGAGCGAGCGTGAGGCGGGAAAGTAGAACAATGAGCCGGTCTAAAGAGCCCGGACTGCTCGTGTATAGTTAATAGATAAATAAATAAGTTAAAAGAGATACATAAGTGATTTGGTTAATATGACAATGTTAGGTAGACATGATTGGCTGACTGTATCGGAGCAACAAATTGATATTGAATGTACAAGATGAAACTGGTCTGGAATAGCAATGCAACAGACATGATTATTGTTTGGATGTTGATGCAGATGTTCATTTTGTGTCTGTTAGTATAGTAAATACGTGCAGAGAACGTAAACATACACTTGAGTGAAGTCACGGTGTGTGTGTGTGTGGCGAACTGTGATAATAATATATATATATTGGCTCTTTGCAGAACAAAATAAAAGACTTTCAAATTAAATGTGTAGTGGAGGGCAACTTCACTCTGTACCACGCTACACATGCAGGTGTGTGTATGCATGTGTTTAAAGAGATTCGTGTTGAACGAGGGGGGCAAACATCTTTGAAATACATATCTGATTTGGTTGTGTAACTGTAAACACAGGGAGTTTCTGTTCTGTCAGATAAGGGCTAAGATTTCTCAAAGACTTATTTTCAGCTACTGAGAAAAAAAGTACTTCTCGTATAATACATCTACATCTCATTCTGATGAATGCTCACAGCGAACAAGTTGGATAACAGTCTCGCTGTCCACTGTTCCATTTCACTTCTGTCTCATCTAATCCAGAGTGTTTGAATTCAGAAACACTTTGCCAATGCTTTTTCGCCATCGCTGTGAATATTGAACTGTCAAATCAGATGCTCTTTTCTCTCTCATTCAGCATTCTTGACTATTCAATTTCACAGCAAAAAAACGATTTGACTCAATGAATCACAACATGGGCTACTGAGAGCCAGACATGTTCAATCACTGCTGACTTTACCTGCATTTTAGCTCTCCTTCTAAATGAAGAATACAACCGGTGGTACAGTATGAATCATGCATTGCTTTTGCGCAAACGTATAGAACATGTGATTTATCAGCTCGATTTATCTTCCAATTTCATACCGAATGCACACATACACAAACTTTGAGGTGACATTCAGTTAGGATAAAAAAAACAACAACTTCAGAGTCAACAGTATATCTTGTCTCAGAGAGATGGCAAAGCTGGACCACAATTTGTTTTCCTATTTGCTCTAGATTGCAATGTTGCCGGCCTCGTCTATCTCTTTGCCGTGTGTTTGTCTTTCTCTTTGTTGTGACAGACGAGACATATCGTTCTTTCTCGGCTGAAATCCTCAGGTTATGTGATGCATTTTATTCCAATATTCCTACTTAGAGTGATGCAAATTCAGCACTAGTGTATGGCAAGCCGATTTAGCTTTTATTCATTTCTGGAGGATATCAAAACATCTATTCTTACTAGTAAGAATACAAATTCTTGATATCAAAAATTGAATTTTAACTAGTTCAAATGCAAATTCTTGATATCAGAAATTAAATTGTAACTAGTTGTAATGTGTATTTCTGATGGGAAAAAATGCGATTTTAATTAGTGAGATTTGCATCGTTTTTCTCATTCATTTCAATGGGAGTTGGAATTTGAACTAGTTCAAATGCCAATTTCTGATATCAGTAATTCAATTGTTACTAGTTGCAATTACATTTGAACTAGTAAAAATATCAATTTCTGATATCAAGAATTCAATTTCAGCTAGTCGAAATGCCAATTGTTGATATCAGAAATACAATTTGAACTAGTTCAAAATCCTTTTTTCATATCAGGAATTTAATTTGAACTAGTTATAATTCAATTTTTATTTATAACTAGTTACAATTGAATTCCTGATATCAAAAAAGGGTTTTGAACTACTTCAAATTGTATTTCTGATATCAACAATTGAATTACTGATATCAGAAATTGCCATTTGAACTAGTTCAAATTCCAAGAATACACATTACAACTAGTTACAATTGAATTTCTGATATCAAGAATTCACATTCTTACTAGTCAGAATATATATTTTGATATCCTCCAGAAATGAATAAAAGCTAAATCAGCTTGCCTTACTAGTGGCTTTATGAAGAATCAGGAGTGAACAGGTGCCATATAATTGGCAGCTACGGTTAGAAATTCCCCTTTTACACTTAATTGTTTAAACTTGATCCTCCAGGCAAATCTCCATTACAGCCTCCTACTCCCTGCGTACACAGCTGATACTTGTCCTACAGGTTGAGCGACGTGCAAATACTTTTCCATCCACCAAGTTCCCTTTGTCTGTAGTCAATGCTCCCAGCTAACAAGGCGAGGTTGAAGTTCTCTTGTTAGCCTTTATTTCTGTCTCTTTTTCTTCTATCAAGCAGTGCCTGTCTTTGTCATTCGCACATCGCTCTTTTTACCTCCAACCTGATTTTATTCAATTTTCCAAGGTAACACGTATCAGCCCGAGGACTAAAGCAAAAGCACGTATATTTTTATTCCTAACGCTTCCAAGTTATCTGTCTTTGTAAATATCATTCTTTTGTATACACCACGACTGAGCTTCTTTTTTCTGACATATAAGATCTTCACTTATAATAGAGAATATCCTTGCCCTTTTACTGTCCTCTTTCCTTACACTATCTCTTGTCCTCTTTGTAGTATTAAACTGATATCAAGCTGAAATGTATCTACATTACATCTATTCTCTTGATCTAACATGTGTTCCTAATACAGATAAAGCCCCTTACCTTGGACACGAGGAGCAGGGTAAAAGAGAAATGTCCTTCCTGGGAAGAGTGTGTGTCCCTGCAGGCCTTGTGACAATGTTACTGACTCTGTAGCACCTGGATGTTTTGAAGGGATTGGCTTTGAGGTGTGGACCTGCTGGAGGAGTCAGGTATGGGAAGCATGGGTGGAGAATCACTAACTGATACATACATAATCGCACACACTAAAAGAGAAAGGAAAGGGAAACAGTTGACCCAGATAGTTGGAAATAATGCAGATTCAAGTGATTATATCGAACAAACGAGAAGTGAAGATAAAGGCAGGTGGCTAATCAGACACACCTGCTTGAACTGTTTTTTTGTTCAAGTCAAAGTAAGTAAATGTCCCAGTCCTAAACATTTTGTGTTGAGTCCCAACAAAATCAGTGCACCTGTTGCCAATTTTGACGTAGGCATAGCTTTGCGCATTATCTTTTGTGTACTATTTATTTGTATAAGTTCTTCATGGTTCTCTACTGCATTTTGATTGGATGCTGTCAGATTCAAACAAAGTAAATCTGGGGATGTTGACTGGCTGGGAGTAAAGAGTGTTAACGTTGAATCAGGAAGGGAAACTTATGATTACATCGTATGTGATTTAACACCAACTTTTAAGGGTTGAATCCCAGCCCTGGGCCTTTAATACATATCATGCTCTCTCTCAAATTCAAATACAATTCAAGGAGAAGTTTTTTTGACATATATCAAAAACATGGTGATACAACAGAGACATTAATCAATCATGTTAACAATATTATGGAACTGAAAAATCAAGGAAAGAAGCTGAACATAACTGAGGGATATCATCAGCGTAAAAATAACATTAGTGTAATGTCCATAACAGTATGTGTATGCCTATGATTTGTGTGTGTCTGGTCACTCACTGCTCCTCAGATTCTGGGTGTTAAAAACATATTCTTCTGCTCTCTATGTGCTCTACTAACAGGGTTAACATGTTGTGGATGTCTGCTATTTGGTCAAATGAAGGATGTGTGCTTTTACATTTGGGGAAATATTTAATTCAGACTGGCTGGAGTTTTGTGCAACTTGTCAGAAAGTCTCTCTCTCTCCAATGTGTTCAGTGTACTCTTAAAAAGGCACAAATGCAACAAAAACAGCATTTTATAATCTTGCTTGATCTTTGGGGGGGTTCAAATATTTTCAATTTAAAAGGCAGAAGTCCATGGGAAGTCTTGAGTCTTTGGTGTTAAAGTGCTAGTTGATTAACAAGTCTGTTTGGATTTGGTCTAGTAAAGTAATCACATATGTGACTCGAGTCTGAATGAAAGGGTGAGGACACGTGAACACTTTGCTCTTTGTAGGTTTTAGGCCTTTTAACAATAATCTCCCACTAAGTAAAACCTACGTCCATGTACTTACCTTTCTATTGTGCACTGGGATGAATGTACCTGCATACAAAGAAAACATGTCCGTCTGAGTGCTACTCAAAATGAAACTTAGAAGAAAAACAAAACAATGGAATGAAAAGGGAAACAAAACACAGGGGGAATTACATTCAATTGTTTTTTAAATGCAGACTTGCAATGGGCTTACTGATAACACATATCAAACAAAAACACACCCAAAAAACCCGCATGAGATCATATTCAAATTCCAGTTTTACATACTTCTTCCCAGCCCTTCCACACATGCACACAAATGAACACATAACAGCTGATCCCTGTAGGAAATATAGATACAAGACAAGTCTTCATGGGAAAAACAATCCACAGGAGGGAGGGGGTGTTAGACCTGTTAGGGAGTTGTCATTACTTGTTTGTATAAATGTGTTGTCTCTAGTTTCGTAGGAATATGCTGACACACCCACTTGTGGTCCGCCATTAATGCAACACATACGGGCAGAGCAAGCAAACAAAGATACACATGGTGCACTTTAGAACAGGAACATGTGGAAAAACAAACAATCATGTCTAAAGTATTTTCTTAGGCAAGAAAACAGACCTTAGGGGTATCACTAAGTGCAGGTAAGGTGTGCCAAGGTGATTCCTTCCTTGAAACCTCCCTATAAAGCAGGTTGTCTCCTTTTGTTACATCACACCTTACATCATAGCAGCCATTCGTTTAAATATAAGTCAGATGCTTAAAATAGAACAGTCTGCAAAAGGCTGGAGTCGGCAATAAGTATTCTTCTTGCATACTGCAGCAGACATGAGGAAGATCAGACAGAGAGAAAGATTCATGTTTCTATGAAGAATATGTTATGCTCCTCATTGGCCTCTAGAGAATGCTGATGCTCCATCATTTTAATACAGTGCTTTTTTCTGGCCGAGGGAGGGGGGGGGGGGGGAAGGCGAAGTTAAGCTGACAGAGAAGCAGAAGATCTCATCTCTCCTATTAAAGCTAAGCAGCCACATGATCCATGAACAAGAAAGAGGCTGCATCTCTGAAAAATACAGAGTTGGTTGTCAATAGCGATACATCTAAAGACAATGTATTTATTCATACTAAGCAACAGATGAAATAGTGAAAACAGAAGCCTTTTTGTGGGACTGAATAATGCTCATGCTGTTCTCTTTAAGTTGATTATGGCTCTTTTTATTAGCCATGCATCTCAGACAGCATAATTGACACATGAACCTCCATGCCTTCACTTATTTTATTATCTCATCCTAATGCGGGTGGTTAACACTGTTGCCAGGTAACAATGTTGGTGACGCAGGTTGAATGCACTGGCACACACATTTCGACTGAGTATACGGTAAGCTGCTAAGAAGTTAGAACGGAGCAGATCTCTGACATCTTTACGTTGTGTTTGACTTTAATATAATTCCCTTCCTATACATTTGTGAGGCATTTAATCTTGTTATGAAATCAAACCATCCAGTGATGTAGATTTCACAAAATATATGAGTGGCTGGATCCAGCAACAGGCCACACATTCACAGATATTTGTGTTTTAGGTGCAACAAAATTCCAGTTTACCGAAGCTCTGATTAAGACAGAATACTTTGTCCAGAGGAAAAGGCTAAAACCCAACTGGAGCAAAGCCTGCGAGCTGCTTCAGACAGTCAACTCGAGCACCACTGATACATGTGACATGCCCTACCCCCTCTAACAACAAACCAAACACATTCTCCTATATCTGACGCTCTATTTAAGCTGCAATATTTGCCATCTCTCCCTCTGCCTTGCTAATGATAAGATAAGATAGTACTTTATTGATCCCAATTTGGGATTTGTTGTCGTTGCAGCAACATACAAAGACAAGGCAATGTACATAAGAGAAATTAAGACACTAGAAATAAACAATCCAAAATGTTTCTGAGATAACATAGCATTAAAAAGTAAAAAAATATACATGTGGAAATACAAATTTACAGTCACAAAATATAAAGCAGGATATTATATATACATTAATTGTGCAACGAATGGATTATTAAATATTAAATAGAATTTACATGTAAAATAATGCTGCTTCTATCCTGTTTTAACACCACTGCACATCCACCTGGCTCCAGGGGATAGTTTCTTAAACATCACTCCTCAATGACCTATGTAATACACACACACACACACACACACACACACACACACACACACACACACAGGAATAATCCATCCCAGAATACATTGCTATCATTAGACCGTCCATTTTTGTTGTATGCCCCTCCACTTACAGTAGTCATGCATTCCACATGATGACAAAATGAGAGACACAAGAACAATGCATCCTCCCCTTGCTGTTCTCCTTATGTGGGGGAGGCTAAAAGACATCCAGCTGATTCATTATTGACCCAAATTAACTCTAACTAACAGTATCAACTCCTGTAACACTGTGAACACTTTACATTTATTGAAGAAGACTACTGTATACGCTTTGGTCAGGCAACCTTCCTGGGGTCATTAGTAATTCTCTAATGTACCTGTCTGAACACAGATTTGCAAAAGGTCACATTTATTCAAAAAGAGTGATGCATGTTTTGTCTGGAAGAGATCTGAGTCAGAGCACTTTCTAATAGAAGATATATGAACAAAAACAAAAAATACATGAGTAACTCTTTCAGACTTTGTGACAAACATTTAGGAGAGGCTTCCTTGAAAATCTGGGTTCACAAGTGTTCTTACTGCTTGAGGAATGAAAAGCAAATCCCATTGAAGGGTAGAGGAATATATCAACGGATGTTTTTCTTTCGATAGCGGACAATATTTTAGAAGAGTGTGGCTAAAAAGTGAACATTTTCCAAACCCTCCTTAAGCTTCCGACATAGAAACAAGAAAACTGAATCTAATGAGCGAACCACTGGATCAACACCTCTTTCCCCACACTGCCTGTATAAAGCACTCTGCTGTGTATCCTAAAATAGTGGATTAAGCCCCTGCACCCCTAAATGCATAGAGGAGTCTTGTTGCCTCTGTCTTTTTATAGGGCAGAACCCCAAAAGACTGATTGGATGAGCATGCACATGCATATTCTTGTAATGCTAAAGCTCCTAAATGAGTCCCATTAGAAATGTGTGAACTAAAACTGAGGGGAGTTTATTATCTGCCTGGTAAATTGAAGACAAATCATGGTTTTAACTGAAGCATACTGATGTTTAATTCTAAAGCAATTGGGAGAAATGTAAAACCATGCACAAGAATACTGTCTGTCCCAACAAACTACAAAGATGGAGAAGGCACAGTTCAAATGAGTTCATGGTATTATTTGAGGTTCAGTGTAAATATAGGAAACATAACCAGACATTCTTTTGACATGGGTCTGTTTGTTTTTACAAAACTATCACTATTCATTTGACAACAATACACTGATGTTTAAAAAAAAATGCAACAGAGTGCATTTCACTTGTCAGGTCTGAACTGTTTTACTTCAAACATCCAAACATTGCTGAATCCATCGATGCTGACACAGTCATCCTGTCTACTCCACTGTCTCTCTGATCATCCTCAACAAACACCCCCCCCCCCCACCTCGCACAACTCAACCCTTCCACCTCCTCTTGTTTCTAAACCCTCCACCACCACTCATCCCTTTTCCCAGAGACCTGTCCCATTACTGTCACAGTCATTGCTCCAGCTTGGGTCATCCCCCGGTGTGTCAGAGCTGGTGACATGGAGCCACCACCCCGCACTGTGTGTTGTGACAGTG